CATTTTTCTTTTTGTTATTGCTATATCCTGTTGCTTTACCATATGGGTGAGCATAATACAATAACTTCCAGACTCAGAATTATTCTTACTATGGCCCATGATCCTGTTATATATTTCTTAATCCCCCCAACTGAATTCTCACTTTAAAATAATCCCCCAATTGTCACCTGTCTTTGGTGGGGTTGCAAAGCCATTGATGCGGATTTGGTTCTCCTATTGACGGAGTTCTTTCCTTAAAGTTCCACATTGGGGTGCCAGGGATGATTCAGTCTTTCAGGTCAATGAAATGAGACTTAAAAAATTGAGAATTGCCTAAAGTAGAACAGTTGTTGACAGAGACTAGATTAGGTCAAAGATTCTGGCTCCAGAGCTGCAAGAAGCAGACAGCAAAGCATGACATTAAGTGTGGTCTGGACAAGGACTGTAAAGTTCATTACTTAAATGACAAGAGATTGTTCTAAAGGTGAAATGAGACAATGGAGTACCTGGCACAGTGCATAACACATAAGAAATATAAAACATGGTGACTACTTTTATTATTAAACCATTGTTACAACTTGGTGATGATCTTGTTTGGAGAAGGTGGAGGGGAGGCAGTTGTAAGAAATGGCAGAAGTGGTTTGGGAAAAAATCAAGAGCAAAAAATTCCTTACTAGAACTCTGTTCTATGTCCATTAAAATAATAAAATAAAATTATCGCCAAATTATTCTATCAGTAAGGTAGCCATTAGTTCAAACTATTTTTTTTTTTGGCTTGTCCCAAATGGGGGTGGATTGCCTCATTTTGTGGTGCCTACAAACAATTGTGGCAGCCAGTCATAGAGGGCTTAGACATGTAAGTGGGGAAGGTAGAGCATATGCTGGAGAAAGACAGATGAAAGGGGGAGAGAGAAAGTTTGAGAAAATAAAGGGGTGTAGTGGCCAAGAGTGAATAGAGTAAGAGGTAAGGTTGGAGAGAGACTGAGCCATGAATCTCTAAGGAGGAGAACATGGGCAGTAGGCAGAGTTTTAGGCTCTTAATTTATGACTAAAATAGTAGTCAACACTTATTGAGTGCTTCCTATGCTAGGCACTTGTCATATCTTATTGAGTATTCCTGAATGAGAAGAGACTTTTTATACATTCCTGCTCACTGCCTTGTGATTTGAGGTTCTCCTGGTCACGTTTATCCCCATACCACTGAGGTGGAGTTTGCCATTGGACTTGCTTGCTTTGGCCAATGGCATGTGCAAGAACATAAGAATACATAAGGATACCACATTCTTTTTTTTTTTTCTGCCTTGAGATCAACATGTCCCAAGTAGGGGGCAGCTCCTTCAGCTTAGGATTCAGCATGAGAAGACATGTGGATCAGAACTGCATAAGCCAACCCACAGTTACCTACTGTCACTAATAAATAACTTGAAAGTGAAAGAAATACTATTGTAGTCATTGAGATTGTTGTTGGGTGTTCTTGCACCTAAGATGACTAGTATACCTTCCAGCAAACTTACGAGATGGGAACTGCTATTATACCTTGTTACAGATTTAAAAAATGGAGCCAAGTAAATTGCCCAGGGTCACACAACCAGATGTGAAAGCCATCTCGTCTGGTTTCAATGCCTAGGCTCTTTAACATTTGATGTGATACTAGGTTATTTTTAAGGAACTTAAATTATTGGAAATGGTTACACATACTTAAAGATGAACGAGGGGGAAGGAAATGGAAGAGTCTCACAGGGAAAGAAAGGTGGGCTATGCCATTATCAGTTCCTGAACGTGCATCTTTCTAGGGAATTGGGGCCCAGTGCAGCCATAGTAGTTAGGACTTTCTGGTATATTTTAGTCAGCAGGAACCAGCATGCGCTGCATCCATAGTATTTGAAGGGCTCAATATTGCATCCTCGTAAGACAGCTTTTTTTACTGTGGCTTTTTCCCCTGGTCCTACCCCTGTGCACAGACAGACAGACAGGCAGAGACAGACACAGAAACACGGTCTCTGAAGGGCTGGGCTTGTTTCCTTTGGGTTCTCTGTGAATTCCCATCCCCAGATTGTTGAAAACACCTCTGTCAAAAGCCTGGCTGGGAGGGAGCAGAGATCCTTTCCTGAACACGTTGGGGATGTAAACAACTGGTACTCTCCCAGATACTTGCAGTTCCTGGGCTTCAAACAGCACATGCGCCTGGCAATTCTGGTACTTGAAACCGCTTGGCTCTGGTGAAATCCTGCCTGGCCACAGCTGAGGAATCAAGAGGCAGGGACAGGCTACTTACTCTTCCTTCCACTGTGCCTCTTAAGGATATCCGTCCCTGCTTACCACCCCCTTGCAGCTTCTGGACATTCCTGCCCTACACACAGGGGGGCACTGTGCTGGACTCCCACAAACCAAACTTCTGACTGGGAATGCTTCTGGACGGTGTCCATGGGACTAGGGGAACAGATGTGCCCCCAGGTGAACACACAGCTTTGTTTGGCCAGTGACCTTTAACCCATTTAAATAGCCTTCAACTATTTTCTGGTAAACATTTAAAGCAGGTAGCATGTGAAATATGCTTTAGGAAAAACAGCTTGTTTTGATCTCTCTTGGTAACTTGCTCTGGGCAAATAACTCTGCTTTTTGCCCATCCTACTCCTTAACCCCCACAAGCCCAGTCTTTCTTTTACAATCAGGTTGACTTTACCATTCCTTTTTTTTAAAAGTTCTTTTTCTAGTTTCCCATGCTTGCCCTGGGAGCATAGTCATGTTTTGTAACTGCCTGTCGTGCAGTTGATTCTGATTCATAATAACTCCATGTGTGTCAGAGTAGAACCCTGCTCACAGGGTTTTCAGTGACTGATTTTGGAAGAAGATGGCCAGGCCTCTCTTTGAAAGCACCTCTAGGTGGATTAAAATTTCTGACCTTTCAGTTTGTAGCCCACCACTTAACCATTTGCACCACCCAAGGACACTGCTTTGCCGTATTACCTGAGCCTCTAGTGAATGAACCAGGAATCCTATAAAAATACCTTAAGCACTATCAAGAAAAGAAAATGGAACTCCTTCAAACACCAGCTGGAAACTATTATAGAGACCATAACTAAAACACTAAACCAAACTCACTGCTGTGGAATCAATCCTGATGCAGCGACGCTATAAGACAAAGTAGAACTGGCCCTGTGGCTTTCTGAGGCTGGAGATCTTTACAGTAGTAGAAATCCTCATCTTTCTCTTGCAGAGGAACTGGTGGTTTTGAATGGCTGACCTTGTGGTTAGCAACCCAATGTGTAACCTCAGGGCTCATTTTTTAGCCCATCACAAAAACTGTAAATCAAGGTGTAAACAGCAGCTTTTAAGAATACCTCAGAAAACCATTTACAGAAAGATCTGTTGACCTCTGAATATGGAAGAGGGTATTTTCTTCTTTACTGTACACCTTCCTAGTGATATTTCTTAGGGATAGTATTTGGTAGTTTTGAGATAAAAGGTGACACATAAAATGGTCATCAATACTAATGCTACTGCATTATTAATAATATATATTAATAATAATGCTACTGCATTCAGAGGGGTTCCTGTGAGGAGGGCCATGCAGTCCAAGCCTTTGGTTAGCAGGTGTCTCTCCTTGGCTTAGAATGCCATATGCCCTTCTTTGTGGATTCCAGCTCAGCTTTGGTCCTTTCTAGCTTTCCTGGTTCCTGCTCAGTTGACTCCTTGATTCTCCCCAATGTTTGCCATCACCTCCTCCCATGAAGCGCTTCCTGAACACTGTCTCTCTGAGCCTAAGCACAGGAGCTGGCAAAAGAGCATTACTCCATTCATGCTGAGCAAATGGGTAAACACTTGTCTAGATCCAAGGTTTCCTATCAGAAATGGAGTAAAACTACCTGAGGGGGCTCCTGTTTTATTTCCCACACTCACTTAGCCTTTGCTCATCTAACCTGAGAGTCCTTGCCTAGAATATTGCTATAGTTCATCTGATAAAACATCTGCGAATTGGAGTGATCTGGAGCTGATTGGGGCAGTCCTACCATGTCCTATAATGTTGCTATGAGTTGGTATTGGCTTGATATCAGTGAGTTTTGTTTTTTTGGTAGCTGATTTTCAAGACACCTTCCACCCCCAACAATGATTCCTATTCTGCCTCCCAGAGCACCTTCTCTTATACGCAATGGAAGAGTTGCACAGACTGTGAGAGTACTGGGCTACTGTTCAGCTTTGGCGCTTGGGCCAAACACAGCTAAGTATACCTCAGTGGCCTGAAAGACTAGAGTAAGAGGTCAGGGTGGAGATACAAATAGAATAAGAAAACCCATTCCTAATGTCTTCATTCAATATGGTGGTGGTGTTGCTGTCAAGTTGGCCTATAACCTATTGTGGTCCTATGGGGGAAAGGCCAGCCCCCCACAATTAATCACGGGTTTGATAGGTGCAATTGTACGGCTGAGATATATATATATAATAATAAAGTCACAGAGAGCATGAGAGATAGAAGAGTGATCGAAATAATGGAGTCAGACACATTTCATGGTAGCATGCTCACCTCAGCCCCACTTGGTGGTCCACGTGGAGAGGGGGAGGGGAAGGAGGACAAGGAGAAAGGGAACAGGGGAGAGAGGACCAGAGAGGAGAGGGAGCCCATGAGAGGCCAAAGGGAAGGAAACTTTATTGCTAACCCAGGCCTATATACCTATATGCCCTAATTACAGGTAAAAACATTCATCACAGGAAGGGGTTGCAGCAATGACAGAGGGACAATCTAGGGATATACACACAATAGGAAGAGGAGGGATTAGGGTTATACAAGTGACAAGAAGGGCGGATCCTAGATTTGGATGTCACTGAGCTGGCTCACTATAGAAACCATTATCAGTAGGGTGTAAACCCACCCACAGGGACAAGACTAATGGCCAAAAGCCTTTAGGGAGAAGTAACCCATTGGCCTTAACAGCAGGGAGTGGGCCCTACCTATGGTAGGCCCAGACAGTAGTCTGGCAACTGACTGCATTCAGGGAGGTAACAAGACAATCATTTATCATTAGCTGCAAGCAATGTCCTAAGTCTAACATATTTGGGGGATATGACTTGGGAGAAATCACTGTTTCCCACAGTCCTATGAACAAGAAACGAACATTGTGATCCACAGCAATTAACAGTCTGATTTTACTGAGCACCGAGGAAATCTTGCTCAAGTAGGGAGTGCACAGACAACAGACGCCTTACCACAGCTTCCCATGTTGTCATGCTGTGTGTCTCTCTGATGATGTAGCTGCTTTAAAAGAGCTAGACAGAGATAGGGATGGGAGAAGGGCAGGGTGGCCCTGGTGTGAAGGTCATCTTGGGATCCTCACTACACAGCTGTCTCAAGACCGTGCTTTTTTATGCACAGTAGACACAGAAGCACTCCTATCTTAGGAGCTCTGCATGGTCTTTCCCTCTGCACCCACCACCCACAGATACCACCAAGGCACACATTTGAGTCTTCAGTTTTCCCTTATTTTGGAGAATTACTTCAGTTGAGTCATGTAAACTGTTTCATAGTTATGCAAAGTCATCTCATTCCAGAAATTCTTCATCAGCAAACAAACATAAACTGTTCATTATCTGGCCCCAGGGAATGAATCCAAAGTCCTTTCTCCCCAAACAGACCATGTCCCTTTGAGGGAAAACAGCAAGAATTTCCTGATGTGCATCCCAGTACAGGAAAAGCAAACCTGTGGAAGGTAAGGGCCACAACCCATGCAGGGCTTCTGTTGGCACAATCCAGATGGTGCTTGTTCACATGAAGTTAGCTTCTTCTCAATGCCATGTTGACCACCTACTCAACAGGATCAAACAGACAGGCATCTTGTTCCCTATAAAAATTTCCCCAGGTCTAACTGGGAAAACCAAATCCAGTGCTGTGCTATCTATAGATAAGCTGAATCTCTGTGGTCTACCTTGTCTGGACTCTGTCTGGGGTGCTGAGTTGGGTGGGGTTCCTAACATCTGAGACTAGGAGGCCAGAGATGTTATGGGTAAGTGTTGGCTGGAAGCAGGGCCATGTCCTTGCCTGGGTTCCTTCTGCCTTTCTATACAGAATTCCTGAGTAGAAGTTTGACCTGATGATGCAAGCAGGGAGTCCATGGTTGATAGGATAAGTGATGGGGTCAGAAGCGGTGACCCTTCACAGGCTCTGGGCCAGACACTAGAGAGGAGGAAGCACATCCCAAAGACTCAGCCAGATACTGCTCTCCTAATGAGAGCTATGGGGTAAACAGGACTGGCAATGGCCATCTAAAGTCACAGCTTTAGGGGTCTACTCTGTCTGGCCAGTGTTGTACACAGCTATCACCTGACCAGTTCCTGCCTCCTCAGGACTGGCCTGGTCCTGTGCATATTCATGTGGGAGCTGAGAGTCAGAGGTGAAGGATTCAGGACATCAGTTTTATGCCGATGGGGAGGAATAGGCACTGAGTTCCTCAGGCAGGGCTGTCAATCAGTGACCCTTGTCGGTACCCAACACAGGGCCCAACACAGGGACACATTGTAGCAGTTGTTTGGGGACTGTGGGACAGGCAGAAGCTGGTCATCTACTTGGCCTCCACCAGTTGCTCCAGACGCTGTAGTATTGTCATACGCAAGGCTTGAAACCTGGTAGAGACACAACCAAAATGACCTGCTGACTTGGGGAGGTTGGGTGGTGCAGGTGCCTAGCTCCAAGAAACCCACCTTTCCTTACCATTTGATTATGGGTACCACCCCTCCTTAGGCAAAGAGAAGACTAGCCAGCCCGTGCTCCATTTTATGAGCCATCAGACATGGATCTGGACTTCATTGTGAGCTTCAAAGTAGAATTTTGCTGTTTCCATTTGCAAACTCTACATGCATAAACGCTTCCTAGAGCAGATGGAGCAGGAGAGCAGGAATTAGGGCACTACTCTCAAGCTGGCTGTGAAACAGCTTGTACAGCATCCTTCCTCATCTTGAGACTCAGTTTCCCCATAGTACATTCAAAAGATGACTCAGATGATTCCTTAGGCCTCTTTTGGCTCCAAATCTACAATGGAATTTCTGACTATGCAGTAGACCTGTTTCTTCTGAATGGGATCTCCGCTGAGTCTAGCTTCATCACACACATGAAGGCCCAGGGAGAAGGGGAATGTAGCTTTCCGAGGGTCATTCAGTCAAAAGCTAGAATCGGATCCAGGCCTTCATCCCAAGCCCAAGTGGTGAACACTTCTGTCCTCTCTCTCCTCAGATGGATTCTGACTCAAGCGCTGGCTGAAAGCTCTCCACGCTTCCATTTGTAATCAGAGGGGAAAATGTATCATCAGGAAGCTCAAATCTATTTAACCTCACAGTTGTCCCTGATTCCCTGATGCAGCTTCCCCAGGACGCACCAGGTTCTATCTGCTAGCCTTCATTCCACTGGTCCTTGCACCTGAAGAAGTCATCTGGTGAGCTAAAATGTCACTGTTTTGGGTTGGCTCATACTTCCCACAGGTACAGGCAGTCCCAGATTAGCTCAAGTCTGTATTAAGGAAGCCCTTTGGCAGCCAGCTCTCCCAGCAGCCACTTCTCCAACCTTTGGCTCCAGAAGACTCCCACATGGGACCCACTGACCCGCTACCCACCCACAGGTGTCCCAAGGCTGTTCCCCAAGTCCGTGTTGAGCAGGAAGCCAGGTGTCGGTAGGGAAATTTCCCAGTCTTGGCCCTGGGCCCTCCCTGAGCAATGATTAACTTTTAATGTGCCGCTTACTTCATGGTTAGTTTGATTATTTCTCTTTCCTCCTCTTCTTTTAATTTCTCAACAAAACTGTCCAGCACCGGCATTTCAAATTTAATGTACTGAGCAACCTAGAAAATCCAAGAACATTTTAATATGCTTTAAATTAAAAGCTAACAATGAATTTTCTTTTCCTTATGGCTCCCCTGAAGGCCAGTACAGCACATGCCTGTATTTAGGGAAAATGGCCACTCTCTTCCCTCCCCATGGCTACCCTAATACATGCTAGGATGGAGACCTGTTCTCATCTGAAAGGCAACTCTTAGCCCTCGGGGGAGATATTAAGTGAATACTAAGAAAAAGATTTGATAGTAAAATAGTCACGCAGACCATTGGGGATGGGTTAGGTGGGATTCCATTGTTTATAATGGAATGATATCTCCCCTGTCCTAAGAGTGGCTTGATAGATGCAAGGCCACCAGAACCCTTGGTCTACAGCAGGGGTCCTCAAACTTTTTAAACAGGGCCAGTTCACTGTCCCTCAGACCCATTGGAGGGCCGGACTATAGTTTAAAAAAAAACTATGAACAATTTCCTATGCACACTGCACTTATCTTATTTTGAAGTAAAAAAACAAAACAAAACAAACAAACAAACAAAAAAAACAGGGCAAAAACACCAGGCGGGCTGGATAAATGTCCTCGGCAGGCCACAGTTTGAGGACCCCTGGTCCACAGAATAGATTCCTGGCGTCCAATACTGAAGATCTTTTCTAAGCAGAGGATTCCAGAAATGTGTTTATTACCTGACACAGACAGTTCTTACCCCGCCGAGTTAAGCCTAGTTAAGGAGGCCCTGTGTGAGTATGAACACAGGAAAAAACCCAGCACCCTCCAGTGAAGGGCTGGCTTGCCTGAGGTGAAAGGATTGGGCCATGGGGCCCTGAACCTAGATTTTAGGACCCAGGGTCTTTTCCCCTTCAGTTGGATAATAAAGCGTGGGTGGTTAGAAGCATAAGGACTTAGGTTATCAATGTGCTGGGACTGGGGCAGTCAGTAAAACTATGGGGCCCTGGCAGTTGTCAACCTCATAGCCCTCTAGAACTGTCCAATGCTGCTAGCAAACATGTCCTTCAGGAAGAAGACCCTGAGTCCTCAACCCTGACTCACATCATGGGGAACTTCCTCTCCCAAGTCTGTCTCCATGAGGAAGAGCTTGGCGATCTTCTCACATGGCCCGTGCAGAATTCTGGAAATGAGAGGGTACTCACAGTCTTTTAGTTTTGTCCGCTCTGAAAAAGGGAAGATTTGCAAAATTCACAAGACTTCAGAACGATCACTCGTGAATGCATTACAGGAACATAAAGCTTGCGTTTTCTCCAGCCCTCGCTGATGTTGCTGACCTGAGATACTTGTCCATCAGCCCAGGCCCAGCTCTGAGAAAAAGGAGCACTGGGGGAATAAAGACAGGATTTGGAAGGGGAAGACTAGGCCTGCCCATGAGAGAGGGTTCCTAGGCCGTGCTACATGTATAAGTGCATCACAGGCACAGGCAGGTCCCAGCCCAGCAGATCCTAAGCAGGTCCTTTAACCTCACTTCTCAGATCATGACCTATACTCCATCACTTTTAATTGAGTCTACTGAGCTGAGAATAATTCATTAGACTTGAAGACCTTATAGGTGCCTTCCCATAACATTTTGTTGTGATCCTAAAGAACATGTTCAGATGTTCCTGGGTTTGGGATGGGGAGAAAGATTCTTAGTGGAGGAATAGCACTCACAGGATCAGGAGAACTGGCTCTTCTATGCCCCCACTCCACTCAGCACAGAGCCTCCAAGGGAAACGGTGTTTGTGTGTGAGGGGGTGGTGGTGGGGTGGCAGGGAGAAACAGACTAGACAAAGACATTCTGGCTTATGACCCCAACATACAGCAGATACTTACCCCCAGACTCATGAACGATGTAGAGCGCAAATTCCCCAGGGCCATTTTCCACCTGCATGAGCATCAACAGACTCAGACCACAGAGCAGAGAGACTTCTTTCCATACTATACCCCAATATCGCTATGAGCCCCCCCAAGGGCCCAGAGGTGGCCCCTCAGATTAAAATCTCAAAGGTGCCCTCTCAGTGAGGAAACATTTCTAGATCTCGGCACCACAAGGAACTTTCCTAGCCTTCACCCGCATTCCCTCCCTGACCTTCCTGTCCCCCTACCACAGAAAATGACAAACCACTAGTAACCAGGACAGGCTCACTCCACGGGCAGACTTACTCTGAACTTGTTGAGCAACAGGGTGAGCACTTGCAAGGTTGTCATGGTGCTGTTGACCCTCACGTTGGTCATGGAGCCGAAGGCAGGGGTAAACACGGAAGTCTGTTGGGGGTGGATGTGGGGTAGGGGCAGTTCAGTAGAAGTCCAGAGGGCACCTGGGTTGACATCATGCAAGCTCTGGACCCACTGTCTGGCCAGACTGTGCTGAGCAGACCCTGACAGCAGGCGGGCCTATCCCCAAGTTCTGGGAATTGTTGTGCCCATCCAATCAGACAGATCCGTGTGCAAGCTATTCCCAGATCTAGAGGTGCTCGCAGAAGCAGCACGACTTCACATCTTTCAACAGCTTGGAAAAATGCCTAAATACTTAGAGACAGCTTTCTGGAACCTCCATCAGCCCAAAGGTTCCTTGAGCACTGCTACCTGGGGGTTTTAACACTAGGCAGAGGGTGTGGAAGGTCCCACCCATGGGCCCTGAGAGGTAGTTGGGATAGGGACAGCCAACCATCTTCTTCATGAACTTTCCCAACCATACCAGAACTGACTACCCCCACAGGGTTTGGCAGAACTGACTACCCCCACAGAGGGAAGAGAGCAATAGAGGAATGAAAAAGATCCACTTGACCTAATGGGTTGAATCCCCTGGGTGGATTGTGTGACAGCTGGTTTTGAATCCAATGATCCAGTGCCATTCATTTTCACAGTTAGTTGATTCGGCAGGTGAATTGTTACAAAATTCGTGAGCCAAGTCAATTAACATGGGGTCTCATAAACATCTGGGCCTTAAAGCAGCACGAGGTTCATTCTGCAGTGTCCACCCTGCTACCAAAAGTAGCCCACCAGGCAGCTGCATTCTCCTGCTCCCTCCCTCCAACCTTGACAAAAGTAAGCCTGATTTTTACCTATTTAAAATTTGAGAATAGGTTGAGATTGTTTCAGCCCTCAGACCTCTAATCAGTCATGTGCTTTACCAGATAAAAATTTGTGGTTAGAGTGTGCAAGAGCCAGCAATCCTGAGGAAAACTTCAGAGGGAACCAACTCTTTAGTTGGGTTAGTCTTTTGCTTCCTATACTCAGGTCAGAGGTCCAGTTTATACCTCAGGGTTCCAGTTTATACTCAGGTCAGAGGTCCAGTTTATTCCTCAGGGCTGCTAGCACCTTCACCAGAGTTTCCTCTGGCTTCACCCTGCCCTGGAACCATCTAGCTTTCTGGTCCTAACCTGCCTGCTCATGCTCCATCTGGTGGCTCAGGATCGCCCACTGCAAGGCCTCGGCAGCCCACCTCAGCTGACCAGCCGGGAGGCAGTGTTCCCTCTCATGGCGCTACATCTGCTGCTTGCCAACCCCTGGCTTGTGCATCCGCTGCACTCCTTGGTCTGAGTTTCGAGAGTTTGCACTGTACAGAACCAATCAGAATTAGATTTGTGGACCCCAAGAATTAAACAGAAATAGAGGAGTCAGGCTGTTCCAAAGAGAAGAGGGGTTGTTAGTGTTCCTTCTGCACTAAGTATTGTTTCAAGTCTGAACAAAAGTTTCCTGACTGAACTCCCACTTCTTATAACTATGGTTTTTCTCCATGAGAACACGCTGAGTCCAATAGGCTGATACAAAGCAGTAAGAACAAGTACAGACTTTTACCCAGTCCAGAAATTTAAACATTTTAAAAATAATTTTAGAAAATGATTGAATAGTGCCCAGGTTAAGAAACAAACAAATAAAATCCCGGGGGTGGAGGTGGGGGACAAAAAGAAAAAGAAAAGACTGGCAACTACCTCATGAAGCAAATTCTAGGAATTTTAATTTTTTAAAAAATGTTTGGTTTTTTTTTCATGTATAATTCAAGTTACTTTTCACTGATTTTCTAAGGACATGAATTCTGTGTGAATGTAAAGCCAGGTAACAGAGAAATTCCATATATGATTTCTTTCTGAGAGTCTCTGACTCACCTTGGAGATATAAATTAACTCTCCGAATTACTTACTGTATTAGTTCATGTCCTAGAAGGATTATGCTTCGCAGATAAAGCTATCCTTAGAGGGAGAAGTTGCCGTGTCTGGCTTCCAGGTCTCAGGCCAAGGGTTGAGGTTGACTGACAGCAGCTCTTTCATAGGGTGGTTCAAATTTAAGTAAGGCGCTATGATGGGATTGAGCATGTGTTTGCTCCAGACACCTTGGTGAATCTGTAACATTTGCCATTACTGAAATAAGTGTTCCCACGCAGAGCTACTCTTAGTGGTAAAGAGAGGTGCTTTGAAAAAGTAACCACTTAAGGAGCAAAAACTACTCTTTAAGGAGTGTAGAATTTACCTAAACCTATGCAAATGTTCTTTAAAATTTTGTTGATAACTTGTGAAAATTGCATTATCAACATTTATTCAAACCCTAATAATTGACACTTAGCTAACCCTTCACAGACTTTGCAATATTGCATTTGTGGAAGTCCTTGGACAGTGCTACTTTGAAGGCTGACAGTTCAAGCCCACTGAGAGGAACCTTGGAAGAAAGTTTTGGGAATCTCCTTTCAAAAGGAAACTCAGGCTCATCTCTTCTTTGTGACCCTTCTGTAAGGGGAGGTCCAATTGTCTGCAGATGGGGTAGCACCGATGAAACATACAACTTTCCTCTAGTTCTTTAATGCTTCCTCCCCCTGACTAGCATGACCTCAATTCTACCTTACAAATCTGACCACACCCGAGCATGGACACTGCTACAGATGAGAGCTGGAAACACAGGGAATCCAGGACAGATAAACCCCTCAGGACCAATAATGAGAATAGAGATACCAGGAGGGTCAGGAGAAGGTGGGGGAGAGAGGGGGAACCGATCACAATGATTTACATATAACCCCTTCCTATGGGGGATGGACAACAGAAAAGTGGGTGAAGGGAGACAGTGGTCAGTGTAAGGCATGGGGGGAAAATTATAAATTATCAAAGCTTCATGAGGGAGAGAAGGTGGGGGAAGGGGAATGAGGAGCTGATACCAAGGGTTAAAGTAGAAAGAAATGTTTTGAGAATGATGATGGCAACAAATGTACAAATGTGCTTGACACAATGGTTGTATGTATGGATGGTGATAAGAGCTGTCAGAGCCCCCAGTAAAATGATTTTTAAAAAAGGAAAGTCATGAAAACCATACTGGAGCACAGTTCTGTGTTGACACACATGAGGTTGCCCTGAGTGGGAGCTGACCCATGGTAACTGCTTTTACCTTGAGACCTGAGGATAATTTAAACCAGTCTTCATCTCTGCTTACCTTAAACCCTCGATTCTTCCTCATTCTTTTGGGAAACTATACTTTCTAATAGTCCTGTAATTTTCTGGATTCTGGCCAAAATAATCAATCTTCCTTAACACTTACTACTACTCTGCCAGGGAGAGGGGGAACGTCCTATGGTGGCAGCAGGGCACTTTATCCCACAGACCAGAACATCCTGGCAGGTCTCACCTAGGCAATCAGCTCAGGCAGAGGGCCCAAGACCTCTCCATTTCCATGCCCCTCCCTTCTGTGAGTCATCTGCCACCAGGCAGGGCAGTTGTGAAAACTAGGAACCTCTACTTTTGTTTCTTGGAGTGGTAAGATGGAGTGGGAACAGGACACCTGGCTCGGCTTCACCTGTCCTCATAGCCCTTTTATAATAACAATGTACTTCTTTCTTACAATTAGGCTTGCTTACAGGATGATATGCTCTGGGGAAGGTAGATTTCCCGCAAGCCAGTTCAATGCCTCCCCTGATAAAGGCACAGTGCTGGGAGTTGGAGGCACTCTAGGTTCTTTGACCATAGGGAGGCATATCTCAGCCATCATAGGGGATCCCGAGCCAAATCCTGAGGAAATCCCGAGGAAATCCTCATGGGGAATCTGGCCAAGTAAAAATGAAGTGAGTGTCAATTCCTGCTTCAGTCATTGTCTGTTAATTTGCCGGGAATCCACATGACTTTTGAAAACACTTTGATGATGAGTGTGGAGGGAAAAATACAAGCTTGAGGTCATGAGCTAGAGTGGTATTTTGGTATTACTTGGGTAAGATATCCATGCTCCTGACCTTGTTCCCTCACTAGCACACAAGATCACATGAGGTTAGCAGTTAGGAATGAATGCTGGTGCTGTTTGCTGCCACTGAGTTGATCCTTGTCTCCTGATGACCCATCCACAACAAAATTGAACTGTTGAAATCCTTAGTTTTGATTGAAGTTTCTTTGCTAGCCATCATTCTTGTTGTTTTTAAAGTAGGTCTCCAGGCCTTTCTTTCCAAACTCACTGAGTCTGGAAACATCATTGAAATCTCTTCTGAAACATAGGAAAATGCGAGCCTCCACTGACAGACAGTTGGTGGCTGTGCATAAGGATTTTGGCTGGGAATTGAACCTGAGTCTCTTACATAGTAAAGAATCACCACTGGCTTTATCATCATAAGGCCAAACTGAATGATAGCAGGTCCACAGTAGGGTGGAACAGTTGTACCTGTTCTGGGCACTGATCCCCTATGAGGTAAGCATAAATGACTCGCTCACAGGGCAAGTTGACAGCCTGGAGGAAAAGCCAGGCCGGAGCATCACCTTGTGGTTGTAAAAATGTCCATTGATGGAGAAGCGGTGTTGCCGGACCCTCTGGGCCTCACTGGGTGTGTGGCGCTTAGGTCTCCTCTGAATCATACAACTGGCATCACTCCTGGTCCGAAGTCGCTGTGGGACATCTGCATCCTCTTTTAGGGGCGCTGCAGTGAAAATGGAGGACAGAGTAAAGACACTGGTCACAATGATGACTCCACCGTTACTGCCAATCGCAGGCCTGCTGCCTTTGGGGTCTGGAAAGGTGACAGCTAGGACGTGAACCTGTGACAGCTACTCGGGGCCTCTGCCTCAAGGCATCGGGAGTAGGTTGCGGGCATCCCTGTTGCCCTATTGTGGGAATGTATAAAAACCATTCATTTGAGCAGGTACTTAAGGATGATAGCTAATGAAGACAAATGAGTCACTCTTTGCTGTTCATTAAAGCTGTTCTTCAGATAGACCCTCTCACCTCAGCTGAGACAGTCTTGGGAAGTTTACCTGAGCTATGCCTAGAGTCCTCTGCTCTCTGGAAAGGCTCACTTCCTGGATCTTTGGCAGGGCCCCTGTTATTGTCCTGAGAAGAGGGCTCCTTTCTGAAAAGAGAAAAGTACATGCTCAGATTTCTTGCTGGCAGAAAAAAAATACCTCAGGCAAAAGAAAGAGCCAGGCATGTGCTAGACCCAGGGAGGGCAGGTAAGGCTGAAGATGAAATTTCATGCTGAGGAACCAATATAAATATTAAAGGGAAGCAAAGACTTCCCCATGTATCCGAAGGAAGGAGGGTGAATTAGACCCAGCAGATCTGAGGGGCCTGCGCTGGGATCGGTCAATGTACACATGGACATCGGCAATGCACTGCACATTTCTGGAGGAGTGTTAGGCAGGGACTCTGAGCAACAACCACTTAAGTGAGTGTCTACTTGGCTGGGTGGGGATTCTTAGAGTTTGGTAGCTGAGATCTCCTCCGTGATTTAACACAATTTAACACACTGTAAACAACTCCATGATGGAATCTGTTGTGAACTTCAAAACATTTGCAAGGAGACTAGTGAGGAATGCAGCCTTCTATCTCAGGTTAACGCCCTACTACAATCAAGAAGATGTTTCTTTGGAGGTTTGGTCTACTCCTTGTGGGATGGCGTCTCTAGCTTCTTGCTGGTCTGATCTTGCATCTGACCCCTAGACCTGCCTGCTGGCCCTTGGGGCTATCAGCTGGCTGCCATATTGCTTGCTGACCTTGGATTTATTTGACTCGGCAACCGGAAGACTGACTTGCTTCCTGGTTCATCTCCCTGCTTCCTGATCAGCAGCTACACGAGTCAGGAAAGCCTCCAGTTTAGCATCTGACCCATGGACTTGAACTACATGGAACTTTACCTGTTCTACAACTGTGTGAGCCATTTTCTTGATATAAAATTCTTTATAATATATGTATAAACACACTATGTATATATACACACTTAGAGATGTGAGCTATGCCTGGAGTTCTAAGCTCACTGGTGTGCAGCCCTTAGGCCTCCTCTGTATCATACAACTGGCATATAGATGTGTGCATATACATATGTATATATGCACATATATACATATATCTATATATATGTCACTGGCTTTGCTTTTATAGAGAAGCCCATGTAACAGAGGAGTAACCTCTAAGCCACTGATCAGGTTAGATCCTATATTGGGTCACCTCTGTCTTACAGTAAAAGGAAAGAGTATCATGGGCTACAGTTCAGGAAGGCTTAGGGAAGTGTGCACCTAAGTTGGGGAGAAAGAACTAGAAGGAGCTAAGCCATGCTACGGTTCCTGTGGACCACACAGGACAACACCTGGAGCTGCTGCTCAGGACCTTCCATGAGGCTGATGTGACAGTACACGGGGATCGTACAAGGGTTCCACTTGAAACCTTTCTAAGCAATCTGAACGACGATGCTCTAAGTTCATATGTCTTCAGATTTACCATGAATGACTACCACATGGGGAAGTGGCATAAGCAATGTCATGCTGGGCCCCTAGGGGCTCAATCCTGTCAGAGCACCACATTTAGAGTTGTTGAAAGGGGGATAATTTGAATTATTACCTCTGAAAAGAATTTATTGCATCCTGAAGCAGGCAAGAACTCTGGAGGTAACAGATTTTGAGGGTGGGGTGGGGTGGGAGAAAGGATAAAAGTCCACTAAAAAAATGTAGGTAGAAAGTGATTTCATCTTGATAAGAACATTCTTCTGATATTACGATAAAACATGACAGGATGCCAGGAGGCTAAATGTATGTGTTTTAAAGGAGGTGCCAAGAAACCTTAGGCTTACAGAGGACGTTGAGGCTGCTGTCATACAGTCCTCTCATTGCAGACAAGGTGGTGCGCTGCATTTTGGGGAGATATCACTAGAGATGATGGGAACCCAGAATGCTCTGAGAAGGAGTGAGGAGGCCTGACTGTAATCTGGGAAGATGGTTCTGGGGGAGGGCACATGCTGATACAGTGTGGATGGGGAAATGAACTGATACAGTGTGGATGGGGAAATGATGTTGAGATGAACACACCGCAAACCATGGACTCAACTGGAATACATATCACTGGGTGTCCATGATCCCACCTGTCCAAGCACAGCACTCACTGGTCACAACTGGGCTGCCCAGCCATCCATACAGTGGGGGACGAATGCAGTCGGTCCCTGTCATCCTGAATCTGGAGCCGGATGGGCCGCTTCAGCCCCCAAGAGATGTTGAGGAGCCCCTCGAGGATCAGAGTCCCTTCTTCCTGTGGGGCACACACAAGGTCAACCTCTTTCCTCTAACAACAGCCCTCAGTGGTCATAACCCACCCTCCCTTAGGCTCCCTGAAGGGTAAGTCCCTCACTCCACAGGATGCCCTGGACATTCAGATCCCCAACCTCCAGGTTCAGGTTGACCTCATGGGCATCTAACCATTTAACCATGAAAACAACTGAGGCAGGGAAGTGAGGATGGAGAGAACTTAGGTTAGGGGCATTTCAAACTTTGTAGGCCCACAAGAAGAGTCCGGTTCAGCAGGAGAAAAGCAGGGTTTTATCCTCCTGTGAAGAGTTACGGTCTTGGAAATCTACAGGGGCAGTTCAACTCTGCCCAGTAGGGTCTTTATGAGTTGGCATCAACTTGATGGCAGTAAGTTTTTTGGTGTTTTTTTTTTTCAATCATGGAAAGCAAGTCTAAGTCTAGGATGGAAGCATCGTGACTGTGAGTTAGGGGCCAATAAAGCCACTGATAGCAGTGAGAGCAACAGTGGCTAGAGTGTGCTCCTGGTAGTTTACGTATAGTTTGCAGAGTAGTTTCTAACAAGTCTACAGAGCAGATCTTTAGTGCCCTGTTTTATAGATGAGAAACCAGACTTAGAAGACAGTATTTCACCAAAGGTTAATAGGTGGTGGATCCTTGATCTAAATCCAGGTTTCCGCTGACTCTAGTCCATTGGACTGGACTCTATTATTATATATAGTAGGTGGTCTGGTCAGGTAGTGTGTTATATATTGGGTTGCTAACTACAAGGGTGGTGGTTCAAACACCTTAGTTGCTCCTTGGGGAAAGTTGAGGCTTTCTGCTCCCATAAGGGTTTACAGTTTCTGAAACACAAATTGGAGTAGTTCTACTCGGTCCCATAGGGTCACTATGAGTTAGAATCGACTTGATGGTAGTGAGATTGTTGGTTTGGAAAAAAATAGCAATAATGAAGTCTTACGTCCATGGCTTTTCTTGATTTCAAGAGGAAGATAGACCCAGGAGGCCATATTCCAGTTCAAGTGTGGAAGAGCACACTTTAGATGACCCATACACCACAACCTGTCTGCCAGGTCGTTATGGGCTCAGGAGCTCATTGGGCAGTCTCAGAAGAGGGTCCCAATGTGTGTGTAGGGGAGATGTGTTAGGAGGATTAGCCCCTCACCAGCTTTCTTCTTGGGCCCACAGGCTGCTTAACTGTCCCTGACTGGTAGCAATGTGGTCTCAGCTTCTAATCTCTATGGCTCTCCTGCTTACAATCCTGGAAACCTTAGAGGAGGCCTGTGCAGGACACTAACTGTCCCCCATCATGAGTTCCATTTGTCACCTGGCACAGCCTCTGACACGG